ACAACTGCACTGGAATCTGCAGTTTTGGGACTTTGTGATGTGTCCTATTCTCATTAGGGTTAGTTGATATCTCAAGGTAGTTTTGACTTGCATTCCTCTGATGATTAGGGACAATGAGCATTTTTTCATTTGTTTGTTGGCCATTTGTCTGTTGAGAATGAATTACTGCACTTTAATTTTCATTTGTTCTACATTAATTATAAGATATTAAACATGTCATTTGGTTTTAGGATATAAGAATTTCCACAGTATAAGGGATACATTTTACTACCACTCACAATCACCTATTCATTTGAACTTCTATTTTTGACCCATTAAATAGAAAGGTAAGATCCAGGCCATGCTAGGCTGATTCTATAATGTCCCCTAATAACCAACAAACCCCTTGTTATGCACCTTCCCCCAGGTATTTAATCAACACTAATGTAGATGCTGCTATAAAGGGATTTGCAGATATAATTGAAGTCCCAAATCAGTTAACTTTAAGTCAGTGATTATCCTGTATTGAAATGTCCTAATCAGGTTTGTCCCGATCACCAGATTTACAAGGAAAAGGACTCAATGTGAGTCTTTGGGCTTTGAAAGTGGAGAGTTCCTGTAGCAAAGAAAGCTGGTGGTAGCCCTTCCCCCTTTTCACCCTGACAGCTGGTAATCAAACAGGGCACTGCCAGAAAGTGAATTCTGCCCATAGGTTCTATGTAAACTTAGGGGAGGACCCCAATCTCAAGATGAGGGCACAGCTTTTTGAAATCCTGAACAGAGAATCCATTCACACCATGCTTGAATTTCTGACTAAGAAGCAGGAAAAAAAAAATAAATGGCAGTTGTTTAAAGATAATAAATTTGTGGTAATTTGGTATATAGAAATAGAAAATTAATACACATGATCAATAGGTAAGCACATAACATTTTTTCCTCTGGCATGAATTTATGGGCTAATATGAAATTACTTGTATGAAATAAAATCTTTCCTAACTCTTTCAATATGTTTTAGCTTATGATCCTTAGGTAATTCAATTTTACCACAATCATATTTCCTTCACCCATTCAACAATAATTAATTCAGTCTTATTATGTATCAGGTATGACTTTCTAAGCTGGGGTTACAATTTTTTTTTTACAGATAATAATTTTATAGTTTATCATTAATGCTTGAATTTTTACATAACAATTTATGATCCTATCACAATAACGATAAATATGTGGCCATTGATTTTACAACTTCACATATGCCTGCAGTAATATTTGAACAATCATTCCTTAAGTTCCTATTCTTCACATGCAAAATATGCTACAGCCAAACACGAATAGCACAATGTGTACAGTAAGCAGATTATTTAACAGCAATTAAATTCTAAAGAGTCTACAAAAAATAATCAGAAAAATTCATTGGGAAAAGTTGTTTTTAAGATTCTATTTACACTGTCATGAACTGAAACCAACTGATATGTGGAAACTGACCATAAATTCACCAAAAAAAAATTTTGTCATAGAAGATTCAAGTCATGGCTGCATTTTCAGTGTAAGCCACCACTAAATATTTTTCGGACAAATGCAGACACATATTCCCTCATTCCTCCACATTGAGGTCACTCATGATTGTCAGTACTACGGTAAAACATTATACAAGTTATTCAACCATGTCCATTTTAATCAATCAAAATCATGTTTTCCATCTATGTAGTCAAACATAGCACATCTATTCACTATAATATAGCATCCTTCTCCTTTGATGCTGACATTACAGGGGAACAAAAGCAATTATGATTCAACTTAATTTTCATCATGACTTCACTGTTTTAACTAGTGACAGGTTTCAGGCTAAACATTAAGAACACAGGATAACAGCTAAGCTTTCTTTTTAAAAAAATTCAAGAGTATTAGAGGGTACACATCACATTTTGTTCACATACTGTTTGAGTCAAGGCTCTCCCAGATAGTGTTCACCATACTATGTGTGGATTTACCTATCCTTTCCTCCCCTTGATTTTGAGATTTACTTCCATCTTTTATTAATTTATTCATGTATTGGTGAACAGTTGTTTCCATGTCTTTGCAATTGAGAATTGTGCAAAATATGTAGGCATCCATTATATGGTCTTTTTTTGTCCCTCATACTTTATAATTCTAGTGGAACTCAACTGCTTTCATTACCTCCCTATATACAGTTTTTCACTTCTGAGATTTTGCTCATTTCCATATGAAGGCAATGCTGGCACTAGAGGATGAGGTAGGAAGTATTCCCTCCTCTTCACTTTTTTCAAAAATTGTAAAAATTGGTTCTTTAAATGGTTGGTAGAATTTATCATTGAAGCCATATGGTGTAGACATTTTGTTTTGTGGAGAGGTTTTTCATTACTGATTCAATCTCCTTATTCCAGGTTTTCTTCTAATTTATGCTTAGTAGATTGTTTTCAGGAATTTATCTAGTTTATACAATTCATTGGCATCCAACTGCTCATCCTACTGTCTAATAATTCTGTTACTATAAATTTATAGTAATTTCTCCAATTTTATATCTGATTTTAGTTATTTTTCTATTTTTAAAAATTAAATCGTAACAGTGTAAATTAATGCATTTATGGTGTACTGACTATTTTTAGAGATGAGGTCTTGCTCTGGCTCAGTCTGGTTTTGAACTTGTGACCTCGGGCAACCCACCTGAGTTGGCCCCTCAAGTGCTAGGATTACAGGCGTGAGCCACAGTGCCTGGCTCTACCCTGACTTTGGACATGTCACTTTCCCCTCTTGATCTCCATATTACCGTGAAATGAGAATAGGTGAGAAAAGGCCCTTCTAGCTTTAAAGAGTTAAATGAAACTTGTAACTTCCTTTAGTGGTGGTACTAATTACCAAGCCATTACACTTCCTGTTACTTCAGAGAGATATTTGACCTTAGTATCTTAAGATCCAAGAAATCCCTGATATAAAGAAAACTCTGAAATCATAAATAGAAGCTATGGAGTGGTGAATAGAGGTTTTCCTGGGATGTTGTGGCTTGATGGACAGGACCGACAGATCTGGCTATTGGGAGTGGTATCTTCCCACTTCAGTGCCGCTATGGATTTTTATCCTTGCTTTCGAATTAGTCTCAAGAATGACTTTTAGTATTGGTGGTTTTGTCAGTTTTTAAAGATTGTTATCGACACAATAGCTTCTGGAAATCTTACGCGGAATCCTGCTCCCCCGGAGGCACGCTACAAAGTGCCCCGGTGTTCTACCCTGGCCCTCTGCAAGAAGATCCAGCTTCCTCGGACACCGGAGTCTGTGTGGGAGGCAGGCCCTAAGTGAATGAGCAAGACAGTCGCGTTAGAAAGGTAGCGTACGGGCCTCCAACGACGAGCAGAGTGACTCGGCCTTCGTCTTCCCCTCGGAGCCGCCATCTTGTCGTCACTTCCCTCACGAGCACAGCGAGCTCTTCCTCAGGGCCTGCTTCGCCACTTCCCTTCACCCAACTCCTATTGGGCGGCGGCCCCTCAGGCTTTGCTGGGGCCCGGGAGGCCGACAGGCCAGAGGTGGGCAGCCTGTGGCCTCTGGGCGCGGCCTGCTTCGGCCGACGCAGCTACTCTAGCCTCTGGGGTTACAATTTTGACCAAAACACCTTAAAGCTTCTGTGTCTTATATTCCAGAGGCTTTCCAAGAGTGAGATCAACCCATTGTGGTGTTGTAAGTGAAGAAATGACAGAATCTGATTCTCAGTAGCAGGACTGGTGACCACCGTGAGGAAGAACAGTCATGGGAAGCAGGTAAGGGGACAGTGCTAGTGCCACAGTTTAGGACTGAGAGGTAGAGAGAAGCAGCCTGAGGGATAAGAGGGATAGAGGAACCGGCTAAAGAAGCAGGGGATGAGGAACAGCAGTAGAGGAAAAGAGCTGTAAAGCCGCTAGTCTCTGATTAAATGCAGTCTTCTATAGATTTTTAATACAGAGCCTAGCAGGGTGCACTTTGCTTTTGATAATTAATACATTTGTGAGGCTGCTTAAGAGCTAATTGCCTCCTAATGTTAAGTGGATTAAAAAATACCCATTGTTCCCTTCTAAAGATGCACACAGCTCAGATGTGAGTAATTCATAAAAACAGGCAATGTATGAGCCCTGGTGAATGGGCATTTTGACTGTTTGAGCACGTGTAGGTTTGAAGTGATTAAAGTCCTACAACTCCTGGTTGAAATACACAGTAAGAAATTGTGCTTCTCTGTATGAGGAGATGTCCTGCACTCACAAGTACAGATTAAGGGCCGCCGAATAAAGATAATTTTAAAATACAGCAACTCAGAGTCCAAGATACTAGTCGGGAAGTTTTGGGAGTCTAACTGTAATGCGTTTAGACACACTGATCTATCAAGGGACCAAACTCACTTCTGTTACAGATTAGATTTCTGATCGTTCAGGGATTCCCAAGATTGTGCTACCCACTCTAGTCAATAAGCAAGAATGAAACTGGTTTCTCTGACAGTCTGTCAGGTGTGTTCAGACACAACTCCACGTGTAAAGAGAAAAACCACGATCTCTACAGCTCCAGTCCCAGGGCATGTTCACTCTGGCATCAAGTTCCCTGGGGTGAGTTTTCTTGTGGAAGAGTCCACGTGAGGAGGAAAGGAATAGGAAGCAGGTAGTCCAGGTCAGAGAGACAATTCAGGGAAGAGGCTGGACCCAGCCTGGGGGTCAGAGAATTCCTAGGCCAGGACTCCGGAAACAGCGGGACAAATGACGCTGGAGGTGGAATAACAGGGGTCAGGGCAAAGTCCCAAGTTCTGGTCGTGTCTGTCAGGGTCTCCTTCAGCGGTGTCCTCGCGGTGAAGCTCAGCACTGGGGATTCCCTGTCTCCCCAAGAGTTTCACTTCTCCCTCTCCCAACCCCCGTCAGGCAGATCCTTCTTCCTGAATACTCCTGACGCGGCCCCAATTCTCATTCCCGCTGGTTGTCTGTTTCCAGAAAAGCCAATCAGCGTCGCCGAGGTTCCTGGTTATTAAGTCCCCACAGAGCTACCCGGACTCAGCGTCTCCTCAGATTCCGAGAATGGGGGTCACAGCGCCCGGAACCCTCCTCCTGCTGCTGTCGGCTGCCCTAGTCCTGACAAAGACCTGGGCGGGTGAGTGCGGGGTCGGGAGAGAAACAGCCTCTGCAAGAAGGGCGAGGGGCCTGCCCCGCGGGGACACAAGTCCGGGGAGCCGCGCCGGGAGAAGGGTCGCGCCGGGTCTAAGCCCCTCCTGCTCCCAGGCTCCCACTCCCTGCGGTATTTCACCACCGCCGTATCCCGGCCTGGCCGCGGGGCGCCCCGGTACATCGAAGTCGGCTACGTGGACGACACGCTGTTCGTGCGGTTCGACGGTGACGCGATGAATCCTAGGATGGAGCCGCGGGCGCCGTGGGTGGAGCGGGAGGGGCCGGAGTATTGGGTCGAGGAGACACAGAAAGCCAAGGGCAACGCACAGACTGACCGAGTGGGCCTGGAGACCCTGCGCGGCTACTACAACCAGAGCGAGGACGGTGAGTGACCCGGGGCCCGGTCACAGGCCACTACCCCTCCCTTCCCCACAGATCAGCCCGCGTCGCCTGAGTCTCAGGGTCGGAGAGTCACCCCAATACAGTAGAACCGCCTGAGACCTCCGGCCCGGGAAGGGCCCTCGAGGACCCTCATCCTGTTTGGTTTTCAGTTTAGGACAAAATCCCTGCGGGGTGATGGGGCGGGGCGGGGCCGGTGGGCTCTGCTGACCGCGGGGGTGGGGACCAGGGTCTCACACCATCCAGAAAACATATGGCTGCTACGTGGGGCCCGACGGGAGCTTCCTCCGCGGGTACATGCAGTTCGCCTACGACGGCGCCGACTACATCACCCTGAACGAGGACCTGAGCTCCTGGACCGCGGCGGACACAGCGGCTCAGATCACCCAGCGCAAGTGGGAGGCGGCCGGTGCGGCTGAGCACTGGAGGGTCTACCTGGAGGAGGAGTGCGTGGTGTGTCTCCGCAGATACCTGGAGAAGGGGAAGGACACGCTGCAGCGCACGGGTACCAGGGGTGCAGGGCATTCTGTATATCTCCCTCCTCTGGCTCCCAGTCCACAAGGAGGGGAGGAAAATGGGCCTGATCTTGGAATATCACATCCCCTCTGGTCCTGAGCAGGAAGACACTCCCTCAGTATACATCCTACACCAAAGAGTGACTCTGAGGGCCCGGCCTTCCCACTGGGGCAATTAAATAATGGAGTCTCCCAGGAAACAGAGGGACAGACTGTCCCTGAAATACTGGTCAGGTCCCTCTGACCTTGCAGCAGCCTTGGACACCATGAACTTTTCGGTCAGACCTTGTTCTCTGCTCCACTCAGTGTGTTTGGAGGTCTGATCCAGCCCTTCCGGGTCACTCAGCCTCCACTCAGGGCAGGTCCAGAAGTCTCTGTTCTCCTCTTCAGTGACTGAAACTTTCAAGTAATAGAATCCCTTTGTCCAGGCTGGTGTCTGGGTTTTGTCCTCCCTTTCCCACCCCATTTGTCCTGTCCATTCTCAGGATGTCACATGAGTGCTGCTGGAGTGTCCATGAAGGATGCAAAGTGCCTGAATTTCCTGACTCTTTCTCTCAGATCCCCCAAAGACTCTTGTGACCCACCACCCCATCTCTGACCATGAGGCCACCCTGAGGTGTTGGGCCCTGGGCTTCTACCCTGCGGAGATCACACTGACCTGGCAGCGGGATGGGGAAGACCAGACCCAGGACATGGAGCTTATAGAGACTAGGCCTGCAGGGGATAGAACCTTCCAGAAGTGGGCAGCTGTGGTGGTGCCTTCTGGAGAGGAGCAGAGATACACGTGCCATGTGCAGCATGAGGGGCTGCGGGAGCCCCTCACCCTGAGATGGGGTAAGAAGAGGGGCTGGGGACATCACCTTTCTTCTCAGAGAAAGCTGGGGCCCTTCTGGATCCCTTCAGCAGTGTCATGGCTGAGGCCTGGGGTCAGGCCCCTCACCTTCCTGTCCTTTCCCAGAGCCATCTTCCCAGCCCAGCACCCCCATAGTGGGCATCATTGCTGGCCTGGTTCTCCTTGGAACTGTGCTCACTGGAGCTGTGGTTGCTGCTGTGATGTGGAGGAAGAAGAGCTCAGGTAGGGGAGGGGGGTCTGCATGTTCTTGTCCCACTGGAGATTTCAACCCCAGGTAGCAGTGTTCCCCACCCCATTGCCGAGAAGTCCATCCACATACACCTGCTTCCCCATCTGGGGGCCCTGTGTGCCAACACTTACTCTTTTGTATAGTACATGTGACAGTGAAGGACAGAGTTTTAATGTGGTGATTGTGGTGATGGGGACCTGATCCCCTGTAGTCACAGGTCAGAGAGGAAGGACCTTGCTCAGGACAGACCTCCAGGAGGGCAGTTGATCCACCCTTTCCTTCTCCTCTGATTCTTGATCCTGCCCTGGGTCATCAGAGTTCTGGAAATTCTGTGTGATCCAAGACCTCATCCTCTAGGACCTCATGGTCCTGACTGTTCCCAGACCTCTCACAGGGCATTTTCTTCCCACAAGTGGAAATGGAGGGAGCTACACTCAGGCTGCAAGTAAGTATGGGGGGTGGTGATCTGTGAGGCCTCTGAGATAGTGTAGAGAGAAGCCCATGATGGAGCTGCCAGCCACATAATTCTTCCTTTACCCACATCTTCTGTGGTCTCTGACCAGGTCCTGTTTTGTTCAACCCCAGGCAATGACAGGGTCCAGGCATCCAATGTGTCTCTCACAGCTTGAAAAGGTGAGACCTTGCTGTTCTGATGTAAGGGTGAGGTGGGGCAGAGAGGACACAGCTGGGCTATGGAGCTTCTTTGATGAGACATTCTGAATGTGTGGTGGGCTGTTCAGTGTCACCACATGCTGTGACTAATCTGAATTTGTTTTTTACTTTTTTCTATAGCCTGAGACAGCCGCCTTGTGCCTAACAATTCACACCTCCCCTTTATGACTTCAAGAGGCTCTGATTTCTCTTTCTGCAAATGCTTCTGAATGACTCTGCATCCCTCTTTGCCTAATGTGAGGAGGTGGGGAATCCACCCTACCTCCATGTCCATGGTGACCCCCTTCTCTCATACTGACCTATGCCCTTTCCTGATTATCTTTCCTGTTGCAGAGAGGTGGGCATGGAATGTCTCCCTCCCTGTCTTAACTTTATGGTGCACTGAGCTGCTTCCCTAGTGAAAATAAGAATTTGAATTTGTTTTCTCAAATTCTTCCCATGAGAGAGGCAAGAGGGGAAATAAAAGGAAGACCTGAGAACCTTCCAGAATCTATGGGTTTGCTGTGCTGAGTCTGCTGTAGTGGAGGATAGGAAAAGGCCGTGAGGAGTCAGAGTGTGGATGGGGGCTGTGCCCACTCAGTGCTCAGTCCATCTTGGGCTGTATGTGGTCACTTTTTGGCAAGGTCATCCTCACTGTTCCATTTTCCATGTCCCTTTGGTAGAACCTTGTCCCAGCAGGACCTGTGATCACACACACATGGCCCAAGGCAGCCCCTGCACATAGTAGTTTGTGGTATCAAGAGAGAATTTTCACACCATCCAGCTCTTGCCCTCCTTCTAGGGCTCTATCTAAGATGGCATTTTCTATCTTTTCCCCAATGTTTTTATTATTTCATTTTTAATTTTTATGGATACAGAATAGTTATCTATATGTATGGGTACACATGTGATATTTTGATACAAGCATACAATGTGTAATAATCAAATCTGGGTAATTAGGATAACCATCACCTCAAACATTTATCATTTGTTTTTTTAGGAAACATTCTAAATTATATTTAGACTAAATCTTCTCTTCTCAATATTTTGAAATATACAATTAAATCATTGTGTTAAAAAAAGTTGTTGTTTATTTGTGTGTGACAGGGTCTCATTTTGTTGCATGGGCTTGAATGCAATGGCATTCAATCATCAAATCATCATAGTTCACTGCAATCTCAAACTCCTGGGCTTAAAGATTCTTCCTGCCTCTGCCCCCTGAATAGCCAAAATCACAGATGCTGACACCATACCCAGCTGTTTAAAAAATTGTTTGTAGAGATGGGGCCTCATTATTGCACAGGCTGGTCTTGAACTCATGGCCATCAAATGATCTTTCCACAGGCATGAGCCACCCCACACAGCCTATTGTTAACTAGTCATTCTGTTGAGCTACTAAAATTTGGTCTTATTTCTTGCATCTAACTGTGTTTTTGTACACATTAACCAACTCCTCTTCTGTTCCCCCTCCAGACTACCCTTTCTCAGCCTCTGGTAACCCCCATCCTGTTTGCTACCTCCATGAGATTATTATTTTTTTTTTTTTTGCTCTTGCTTGCTACAGAGAACACACAACATTTGTCTTTCTGTGCCTGGCTTATTGTACTTAATATCACATCCTCCCAGCAGTTCTATCCACGGTGCTGCCCCAACCTTTTTAAAGGAACCAGATTTTGGAATTAGCAGAGAGGAGGGAGCCCATCACTTTTCATTTTGGGCATATATTCTCTTCGCCCTGCTACCCTGACCCTTCCCTGCCCTTAATTCTAGCAATCTTAGTACTGGCTCCAAACCAAACTCATGGATTTCTAAAGCAGGCTCTAAGTTAGATTTATTTGCAAAATAAATAAAACAAAAGTTGTTTGAAAATTGGACCTGTATTCAAGGATTATTCTTTCTGAGGAGAGAAATATCACTGTGTGCTGCAGTGTGCAGGAAGGTCAGTGTGAGTGAGGATGAGTGAAGGCACCTCAACAGCACTGAGGAGAAAAGCACATGTAGCATTGAATTCAGCATGAAATGTTTGTCTGCCAGATACAGGGCAGACTGTTTTTCCATCTAGGAAACATCATTGAGGTATAAAATAGAAAAATTGCAAGCTTTGTGGAGCACATGTTCTAGTATGAAGAGGCAGACAATATTCTGTAAGCAGAGAAAATAAGCAATTTTTATGTTAGAAGATAGTAAGGGTTACCGGGAACATGATATAGAGGTTTCGTGGGGACAGGGTTGGTGGTTATTGTGCTGAGTGGTCAGTGTGAGACTTGTTACAAAGGTGATCTTCAAGGAAAGATTTGAAGGACATGGTGAATTATCTATGAGAATGTCTAGGAAAGTTCTTTCCATGCCAGTGAAATCTTCAGCCCAAATGCACTGGAGCAGGAAGGAGTCTGTGTTCTGGGAAGAGCAGGAGGCCAGGAGAGCTGGACAGAGAGTCACCAAAATGAGGTCAGAGATGGGGCTGAAACAGGTAGGCCTGGAGGGTGTGGAAAGGGTGTGACTTTTATAGTGATCAAGATGGGGAGCTAGAGGGCAGTTTTTTATTATTTTTGCTTTTGTTTTTGTTTGAGACAGAGTTTCACTTTGTTGTCCTTGGTAAAGTGTCATGGCATCACAGCTCATAGCAAACTCAAACTCTTGTGCTGAAATGATTCTCTTGCCTCAGCCTCACATGTCAATGGGACTACAGGTGCCTACCACTGTTGCAGGAAGATGAGGCCCAATGGAGAGAAAGAGCACCCAAACACCATGTTTATAAGAGGAAGGGCTTTATTTACCGGCCAGGAGCTTATGGCATAGAAGAATTCCAAATGGCTGTACTCCCCAAATGGCTTGGTCTTTCCCTTTTATTGAGAGCCAAAAAGTTCCACCCCACAGGTACCCTTCTCATCAGCCAGTTTGAATCAAGTGGGAGATGCTATACCAGCCCCTACAGAACTATAAGATTTCACAGAACGTGGAAATTTCCAAGTTCCAGTAAGTTAAGTTTACAAATTCCCAAGAGCTGAGTTACCATGGAGAGGATCCTGCAAGTGTATCTTTGTGGTCTCCTTGAGAAGACCTGTTCTCCTAGACCTCACTCTTCTCCAGTATCCTCTCTCACCATAACTACTCATGGCTATTTTTAGAGATAGGGTCTTGCTGTTGCTCAGGCTGGTTTCAACCTCCTGAGCTCAAGCCATCCACCCACCTGGGCTTCCCAGAGTTCTAGGATTATTTGCGTTAGCCACCTCTCCCCACCTAGATGGCAGTTTTGAGCAGAATAGGGACATGGTACGATTTCTCTTTTCACAGTCTCTCTGGGTGTCAGGGACCAGCCCCAAACTACACCATGGGTTCTTTCCCAGTGCTTGGTGGTGACAAAAGAATGAAAAAAATAAAGACAAGAGACAAGATAGATTTAAAAAGAGTGGGCCTATGCCACCAACAGTGAGGACAGGCAAAGGACCCCTGTTCTGGGTTAACTCAGTATTTATTGCACACGTTGTATTCAAATCAACAAATGAATAGTCATAGGAGAAAGTAAAAAACTGCACTATATGTCATCCTTTCCCTTGTTTGCCACTTTAAAATGCACTGTTCTTTAACCACTTTAGCTAAGTTATTCTTCACTTATACTCTACTCTTACATTAAACTAAAGAATTGGGAGGCAGTTAATGAAACAAAAAGAAAGCTTAGAAGCAGGATGTCAAAGCAGACCCCAATCAGACTACACACACAAATTCCAAGAGAGGCTGTTAAGCCTCTCAGAACTTTGCTGGCTGACAGTCTAAAACCAGGGTATACTGAGAACTGGGGAGAAAGAAGCATGTTCCTCTTATCTTCCTGAGAGACAGAGACCTTTTTTTCTCTCTTAATGAGGTTTGGTGTTTCACTGTTCCCAGCATATCCTGCACCTGCTCATTATTTTTCCAATCCCTTTCACAGCATGGACTCTCACTGATAGGCACATCCTGCCTCTTCAGGGCCCCCTCTCAGTAACCCACTGGGGGAAAGATGAAGCCATGGCAAGACAGGTCTTTGTCTTAAAACTGCCAGGTCTCTTCTGCTGCTTATTCGACACACTTCTGGTGTTCTCCACACTGCTTTTATGGCCTACGTACGTTCCTTCCACAACATCTATCTCTTTGGTCTGTTTCCTTGTTCATAATCTACCATTAAGTTTTAATCACATTTTCTAAACTACTATTTTAAAAAACATAAAGTAATCAATCATTCAAGCACATCAGAACTATCTCATCCTGCTAGGCACTGCCCCGTTCCTCCCACACTGGCTGCTGCACTGAGTACTGAACTGAGAGGTGAGGGACAATGGAGGAGCAGTGAAATACCAGGAAAAGA